AATCCTTATCTCTCCAAATCTGCATTCCCAGTATTCTTTTAGCAGAACCAAGATCTTTCAAGTCAAATTCAGATTTCAATTTTGATTTACAATAATCAATTTCAAATCTATCATGACAAGCAAGTAACATATCATCAACATATAAAAGCAAATAAATGGATTCAGATACACCTGACCCTTTGAAAAAGAAACAGGAATCATAATTGCTTCTTACAAAACCCAATTTCTGCACATAAGAGTAAAATTTGATATACCATTGCCTGGGGGCTTGTTTCAGCCCATAGAGTGATTTCTTCAATAGACTGACCTTTTCAGTTTTGGATTTAATTTCAAATCCCAAAGGTTGATCAATATATATAGTCTCATTAAGGTCACCGTTCAGAAAAGTTGTTTTTACATCAAGTTGATCAAATTCCCAATTAAAGTGAACAGTGAGAGCTAATAGAATTCCGATAGAGGTATACTTGGCCACATGATAAAATATTTCATTATAGCCTTAGCCACTAATTTGACTTCATATCTCTTACTTTCTGGATTCTATAAGCACCTGTTTCATTATCTTCTTTTTGAGTAAACCCATTATAGTCTCCTTGTTTGATCTTATAAATCCACTTACAATCGACAACCTTTTGATTTTTAGGTCTATCAACCAAAACCCAAGTTCCATTTTTAATAAGAGAGTTCATTTCTTCAATCATAGCCTCCTCCCAAAGTTTTGAGCCAGAGCATTTAATGGCATCATTAAAGGAAACAGGTTCTGAATTCACGGAGTCAAGAGCAGAAAATAAGGTAACAAATTCATCATTATTGAATCTGGTAGAAGGTCTTATTTCTCGCATCTCTCTGTCTCTAGTAAGTTGATAATCAGTAAGAGTAGTATTAGCAGATTCATTTTCATTCTTAGATTTAGTTTGCTCATGAGAATGATCAGTTTGAGTAGACTCCACCTCAATAAAATCATCTTGATTGGCAACATTTTTAGTCTAATTTTCCAGGACAGTTTCTTTAACAGGTACAGATTCAGAAGTTTTAGTGTCAGTAGACTCATTACAGGGCATGTCACTTTCATTAAATATGACATTTCGACTAACAATCACTTTATAACCATTTTGGTATTTGACCCACAGTCTATACCCTTTAACATTCTCTCCATACCCTAGAAAAACACATTTTAAGGATCTAGATTCAAGTTTACCTTCACTTTGATATGAATAGACAGTGCAGCCAAAAACTTTGAGTTTATTGTAGTCAGGTATTTCTCCAGACCACAATTTTTCAAAAACTTGAAAACAATAGCACTTGATGGACTTCTATTTATTAGATAAGTTGTAGTTTTTAGGGGTTCTCCTCAGAAAAACTTAGGAAGACCAGAACTGTATATCATACATTTTACCTTTTCCAAAAGGTATCTATTCATTCTCTCAGCAACACCATTTTGCTGAGAAGTATATGCTATTGTTCTGTGTCTTAGAATTCCAGATTCTTTACAAAATGAATCAAATTCAGAATTACAAAATTTTAGTTCATTGTCAGTCCTTAATGCTTTGATTTTCTTGTTGGTTTGGTTTTCAATCATAAGTTTCCATTATTTGAAAGTTTTAAAAGTATCATATTTTTATTTTAGAAGAAAAGTCCAAAATTTTCTTGAAAAACATCTACTATAAGTAGATAGAACGCAAATCCACTTAGAGTATTTACATATGCTGGACCCTATAGGCCAGCATGTAAATATTCTAATATAGAAGTAGATTTATGGGTTCCAGTTTTGAAATGCAGTCTTTTCTGTTTTCCAAAAATACAGTTTTCACAAAAATCCAATTTTTTAATATTATCATTACCAAAGCAACCAAGATTATTCAAAATAGCCAGTCTTTTTTCTGAAATATGATCAAGTCTTTTATGTCAAATTAAAGACTTGTTAGACTCAGAGTTTAAGGCTGTAGAACAGTGGTTAACCACATATTCAGCACAGAGAGTATTTATCCCATTTAGTTTCAAAGAGGAGATAACACTTTTATTGCCTTGTTTAAATCTCAGAAGACCTTTATGAATCATGATATTATACTTGTCATCTAATTGTCCCAAAGAAATTAGATTTCTTTTAAGCTCAGGTACATATCTTGTGTTATTAAGTTCAAGAATATAGTTATTTAACAACAGTTTGATCTTTCTAATTCCCTTTATTTGACAACTCGTGTCATTTCCCATTTGGATTTGTCCTCCATTGAAGTCAACAAACTCAGAAAACCATTTTTTACTAGGACACATGTGAAAAATACAGCTAGAGTCAAGAACTCATTCTTTTGGGTCTCTTCTGGTGGTACTCACAAGAACCACCCCTTGAATATCAGGTTCATTTTTGCAGATCAGAGCTGCAGAACCATTAGAATTGTTCCTATCCTTCATATTTGAGATTTTCTTGAAACAATCTTTTTATCATATGTCCTGTTTTACCACGGTACTAGCATTTTCTGACTTGGTTCTTGGATTTCACGTGGCTTTTATTCTTCTCTTTGAATGTAAAGTTCTGAGTTTTTTCTTTCTTATGAGCATTATAGTTGTATGGGGGTTTTTTTTATTATTATTATAATTCAATTTCTCTTTTATGTGCAACCCTTTTCCATATTTAAAGTGTTTTAACTCAACTTTCCACTCAAGATCTTTATTTCTTAGGGCTGATGTTATTATATCAATGGTAAGATCTTGGCCCCCATATTTCAAGGCATTTCTGATATCCTTATATTTATCACTAAGAGAGTTTAATAGAGGAACAACTTGTTGATCATCAGAAAGCTTCTCATCACAATTTACTAAGTCCTGAATCAGTTTTGTGAATTTGTCAAGATTTTCTTCCAGATCAGAGGAGCGATCAAACCTAAAGTTATAAAATAGCTTTGAGAGATAGTATTTGTTAGGCATGGTCATAGTTAGATAAAGTGCTTCTAACTTAGTCCACAAAGCTTGTGCAAAGGAAGTCTTACCAACTTTTCTAATAACATTATTAGACAAGTGTAAGAAAATAGAACTCCATGCAGTATCATCTAATTCGGCACTTGTTTCTGTAGCCCATTGACCATCAAGGGCTGCAACACACCTCTGTTAAAGTAAGAGAGCCCTCATCTTTTGGCTCTAGAGACTGAAGTCTCCACTCCCATTCCATGTTTCAAGTTTAAACTTATGTGCAGTAGACATGATGACAGATATATCCACAAATTGCAATTATACAACACAGAGAGTATAATGATTCAGACAGTTACAGAAATGAACAAGATAAGTGAGCAGCTTAGCTAAGAAGATAATAAAAGATATATCTCTACCATGCAAATCACAAATCAATGTAATAACACTTCAGAAATATAGTTATCATTTGAAAAAGGTTTAAGGGTTGGCAACCCTTGATTCCACCGCTCCCTTAGATTCCCAAATCTTCTTAGGAGATATTGGACAAAGGAAAGCAATGGAGGATTACTTACCTTAACAACCAATTTCAAAACATTAACAGTAATACAACAAATTAAGGGAGAGGTTTTAGAAAATACCAGAGTATGAAATTTTAATGTTTCAGAAAGAAGGGAACAAGGAGAGAATACCAGAATCACACCAAGAATACCAAAGCAGGTGCAAGAGAGCAATGAGTCACCAATACTCAGTGAAAACTCAGCAGTGAGTCATGAACTCAGCAAAAATCGGTAAAAGTTAACCCACCTTGCCAGACTTAACACGAGTCAAATTTCAAGACTCGGTAAAAATAGAAGATTGAACAGGGTTTATTTTGAGTTCATACAAGTTTTGAAGAAAAATAAATTTTGCCTCACAGGGATATGAAAAACCCACAACCTCAGATCTGCACCAAGAGACATCAAAGACTAACCCTGGATTCACCCATTCCCAAAGACACGGCTTTGATACCACTTGTAAGGCCCAAAACACAATATTACAAGATCGAAAGTTCTCAAACAACAAATAAATTGCAGAAAAAAAAAATAACTCAAGATTTTTCACCCCAAATGGTCCGGATATTCAGTCACAAAGACCTATTCACCCGTTGAACATCAACAATGAGATATAGCACTAGATCCACTAAAAGAAATCAAGAATCAGTGCAGATGTATAAAGAAACTCACGGTTTCTTCAAGTTCAATATAACCTACAACCCGTAATCTCATAACAATCAACCCCTAAAACTGTACACAATATACAGATATTCACAAAGAAAAGAGATTGAAGAATCACACAGAACTATTACGGATTTGGAGAAGAGAAAACCCCCAAACTTTCACTCAATGAGAAAAGAGAAAAACGAAGAGACCCAAGAATAAAAGTATCTTGAATCAGGGGGGCCAAGACCAAGTCAAATATCAAGCAACTAAACAGTCACCATCCAAGGATCAGAGTAAAGGCACGTGTATGGCTGATCTTCAACCATGAAAGAGGTCACAGCCGTTCCATTTAAGAGGCCCAATTATACAGAAGGCCCAACATGCCAAGTTATAGTGAGGGAGCTCAAAATGTTAACATAGTTAATTAAAAACAATGATATACAATAGACAACTCAATATAACTCAGAAGAAATCAATATTTGTCATGGGGAAAAATTTCTACCGTGACGTGTGAACCTACTTAAAGAATGGATTGTGCCTAAGATAAGTAAAAAAAAACTCTGCCTACGTTTTCTATAGCTCGTTTCAAGTTTGCATCGAGTGCACGGGGAAAAAAGAGAAAGCTGACCAAGACAACTTTTGAATAATTCAAATACATATACAGTTGATGTACCTGTTTCCAATACTGGCATGAAGATCAATTACCAATTGCTCCTCAGCTTCAGTACAGTAGATGTACCTGTTTCCAATACTGGCATGAAGATCAATTACCAATTGCTCCTCAGCTTCAGTAAGAAGGCCTCTCTTCAAATCAGGGCAGAGATAATTCGTCCACCGCAGCCGACAGCTCTTGCCACAACGCCGCATCCCTGCCAGCTTCAGCACGCCCGCCAGCAACATGGGCAATTGCTGAGTATAAAACTAATGAGTTTCTTGTCTTCATCCATGGCCCCTTTTTTACACACAGTTTGTCACAACAAGGTTGTCTGCCCATAACTAGCACCACTATCACAAGTCTCCAATAAACCTTGCTAAAACTACCTATAAATACTTTCAAGTACCACCCTCGTGAAATTTCTTTTCAACATATTTTAAAAAATAATTAAATGGGGAAAAATCCAGACAGTCAATCAACTTGCAGTGAAGTATCATTTTAATCACTAAATGTTTATCTATATTTATTGTCCATGGAAAATGTCAGTTTTCCACTTTGAAGTGTTTGATCGCTATTTTTTTCAATTAAAAATATTTTTCAACTTTTGAAAATATGCACAATTTTCCTTTTTTAAGGTAAATATTTTTTTTGGGAGAGTAGGTTTTTTTTTTCCCCTCAAAACAAGGAAATCATTTTCTTTTCTAAAATACATTTTATATGACAATCAAACACACTCTAAAATTATTTTGTTACAGAATAGTCATGACTTTGCCTTTTAAATTAATTTATAGTTACTTGTTTAGTCAATGTTTCTCTTATTCTTTCAAAACTTTTCTTTTACATACTCATTTTTAACGACGCATTCACACAATAAAATATTTTACACGTAAATCCAAAGTTTTCCCTACTTTTTAACCACATTTTTCAAATATTCACTATTTAAAACAATGTTTTTTTCCCAAAAAAGGATCACCAAACATATGCTTAATTCTATTAGTTTTCGAATAGAATATCTGATGTGGAAACCTCCACGTCGACCGTACACGATATTTTCCTCCCAAACGTTATATATGTATCTTACTAGAAAAATTAATGGATTTTAGTTTATTAACCAAACTGTAATAACTTAAAAATAAAATAAAATTCGATATTGATAACAGAAAACTTCAATATAAGTTGAGTTCCTAACATCGTTTTTAAATTATATTTAAATGAATCAATTTCTTCAGTCTCTAATGTTAAGATAAGAATTTTAAGCGAACACGTCATTTATTGATAAAAATTGCACTTGTCACATTTTTTGTTAAAAATAAAAAATCGACATACACCATGTGACTCGTTAAAAATAATATTTAAATGTATTATATGTCTTTTTTTCCTAAAAATGTATACATTCAGATGTGATTTTAATCATTCAAAATTTGTTCCTCCCTTTCTTGAAATTATAATATGGTGGATAGTGTGATATTCAAGGTCCCACCTAGGGGTGTGCAAAACATGATCGAACCCGACAAAATCAATCGAACAGAATCAACTCCAATGGCTTGGGTCGATTTTTTTTGTTATTTTTACACGGGTTGGGTAGATTGGTTGTGTAGGCGGGTTGGATTGGGTTGTGTCGGGTCGGGTCGGGTCGGGTCATGTCGGGTCGGGTTATGAGTTAACTCATGAAAATCGAATATACTCATCAAACCCAATCCAACTATATTTATGAACTTTATAAATGTTACGAGGGAAAATTTCATAAGTAAAATGTTTAGTTTTACCTATTTCAAATATAAGAAATAAGGTTTAAAATTTCAAATTTCAGATTTTTTAAGATTTAAAATTTTAAATCTTAGATTTTTTTAAAAAAATTCTATTTATAAATTAATTAATTAAACATATATTTTATTAATTAAATATATTAAGGTCACAATTCCATATAATTTGGTCACAGATTTTATATAATTGGTCACAAATCACAAATTTTACATGTCACAAATTATTTTCGGACACAATTCAAAAATTTTGAAGGTCACAATTTGTTCACGGTCACAAAAACTGAAAAGTCACAAATTATTTTACAATCACATTTTACAATCACAATTCAAAAATTTTCTATGTCACAATTTATTTATCGATCAAAAACCAGAAATTTTATAAGTCACAAATTAATTTAAGATCACAAATTTGAAATTTTATAGGTCACAATTCAGAAATCTTATAAATCACAATTTGTTCATCGGTCACAATAAAAAATTGAAACGTCACAACTTTTTCATCGGTCACAAATCATAAATTTTAAAAGTGACAAATTATATTACGGTCACAAATCAGAAATTTTATAGGTCACAATTTAATTCGTTGGTCACAAATCAAAAATTATATATCACAATTTATAAATAGGATACATATTTCCAAATTTCTTGATTACAAATTATCGAAATTTAAGGTCACAAATTAATAATGAGTCACAATGAATCAATATATCGGTCACATACACCAAACACCCCACCCCCGTCCCCGATCCTCCACCAATATTTGGTCACAAATCAACCAAATAATTGATCACAAATACTACTCCATTTTCCTTTTTTATTTATTTTCCTTTTCTCTTTAGCTCTTCGATGTTTACCTACACTTCGAATTACCACCATTTTACATTTTAAACAAAAATGTATGGTAAATGNTTCGATTTTTACCTACACTTCGAATTATCACCATTTTACATTTTAAACAAAAATGTATGGTAAATGTTGCTCAAACAGAGGATTTAACAAGTGAAAGTCTTCAATTTAATCTTGTGCAGAAAACTCGGGGGTGATGATGTGGTATTAATTCCATTTTGGACTAATTAGACCTACCAACAAACATGTACAAGATGCCTACTGTAACTTAAACCAACCATTCATCTCTTCCTCAATTTGCTGTAAAACTTCTATTAACACACATGTACAAATTCATCAAATACTTTGCAATTTACTAATCCCCCAATTTCAGAACTCCTCACCAGAAAATGCCAACATTGAGTAAATCCTCTTAGAGATTATCTTTCTTCAACCTTGCTGCCGAGGAAAATAATTTCGAAAAAATGATCTTGAGCATTCGCAATTGAAATTGGAGGCTGACATAAAAGTGTATAGATTAAGCGATTATTACGATTTTGAAGTTAAAAACCCAACGATTGAATCTTCACTTTCGATTTCATGAATGCTGTGAAGTTTCACATTTCTAAAATTTGAAATTCATGAAATTGTGGCTAAATTAGTTTTCGATTCTGGAAATTTGATATTCACCACCTACCATAGATCCACCATCGCCGCCCAAAAACATACCACCACCTCACACCATCGCCGCCACCACGTCCTCTATGGAGATTTACACAACACCCACAACAAAACAAGAGAAGAGGAGGAGGGAGAAGAGAGGAGAGGAAGAGCGGAGAAAAAGAAAAAGAAAAAACTCACTACCGCGTTCTATGCCGTTGTAGCCACGATTTGCATTGGTCGCCGCTTCGAGCGCCAGCGCTGCCGACAAAGGAAAAGAGAGAAGACAGAGGCGGAGAGGAGAGGAGAGAAAAACGATGAGGGTAGAGAAAGAGTAATGAAAATGAAAAATGATTAATTTGAATTTGTAATATAATTATTAATATTAAATTTTTTAATCAAAACCTGATTTTTGAAAAGTTAAACTTGTCATCTGATTTATGAAAATGGTATTTTAAAATCAGGTGTAGGTGTAATTTTCTCATGTTATGATATCGTTGCTTGAAAACTTTTAGAATAATATTATAAGATTTGTATAGAATGCATTTTACGAAAAAAAATATAAGCGAATATACATTCAACACAAAAACATTTTAATTGTAAAAAATATTTCTTGATTTCATATAATTTAATATCAATCTGTCCATGTAACATTTCCAGACAAGAAGTGCTAAAATAATTTTGATTTTTTTGTTCATTACAACTATGAAGACCTAATATTATATATGTCATGGGTCAATTATAAATTCGTACAACCCGACCCTACCCGCCTACTTTACTCTTCGTTGACAAGTTGTCCTAGATCGATCAACTCAACCCAACCGATACTTGATTGGGTTGAGTTTGGTTGGGTTGTGGTGTGTTGGGATAAAAACCTATTCAACTCAATACATGCCCACCCCTAATCCCACCGTTGGTTTTTGAAAGGTACAGATCAACTTCAATGCCTATTGTGGTGTTATCGATTCCACTAAGTGAAGACAAAGCTACAGTATAAGTTTCAAGAATCCTTAAACTATTTGTTCCTAATTCCTATTCCCTACACATTTTGAATATTGGAACCATATATTATTGTAATTTTACTCAACCATCCCATCACCAGTTATTAGTTTATTATTTTCTTCTACGAAGCTGTCATAGAAAAGAAAAATAATTTATAATCGATATCAATAAAATTGCACATGCATTCTTAGCAATTTTTTAAGTTGCAAAATTACCTCAACTTAAAATAAATTTTAAAAAATGATTTTTAGCTATAAAATAACATCTAAATATCAAAAGTTAATTTAATTGATTATTTTTAATTTTTCAAACATAGGCAGCCAAAGTTATTGTAGTATTTAATATGTTAGATGCATTATCTTATTTTTACACCTATGCGAATGTTTAGAAAGCTTGATACTTAGCATTATTGTCTAGCCGCGTTTTATACTTTTCAAAATACTAATGTTGCTACTAATAATAAAAAGCAAAGAGACAGTTCCACGTATCTTCATTTTAACAATCTCTTTACGCATTCGATGCAAATAAATTAACAAGATAGTCGGTTCAAGTGTCATATATTTTCCTTTATTACATATCGTATTTTTCCTTTATTACATATCGAATTTCAAACTAAAACAAGGAAAGATGAACACGAGTGCATTACTAGAATGCCGCTAGCTATTAGCTAACAAATAACTTCAGCAATTGCTAATACCTAATAGCCATGTATTTGGACAAAAGCAGAGAAATTTAACACTTTGTGGGAAGAGGCACCCTACAAGTAGCAACAGCCTTCTTGGCATTGGCAGAGCTAATAAATGTTCTGAAGTTAGGGTTTCTGAGGTACCCGCAAAAGCAACGCTGCTGTTGCTTTAGATTAGCTCAGCAGATTCTCGAAGGTTTGGTACCGGAAAATATGGCAGATCTGCAAGTCATCAGTTTACTTGGATCACATCCTGCGGCCGCGAAAACATGGAGCTCGGCTACAACTAGGAAGAGGACACAATACAGTG